CCCCAAAACCCCAAAACCCCAAAACCCCTTAAATCTATAATAATCACTTATATTTTGAATTATGATTCTAAATTAAATTTGATTTGATTATCGTTTAATGTAGTAAGCCTGATCAATCTCTGGGTTAGGGAAGTGTTTAAATCTCAATATTGAGTCATTCATTGGCTTACTTTTCTTTCTCTTCCTCTAGGATTCCAAAAGACTTGGGAATTCTATAGTAGACATTCACGCAAATAGCACAGTGTAAAATAACCATAATGATTTGGAATGTGACGAAGGAGTTTGCAAAGACTGAGTTATAGTTCCACTTGAGCCCGTCATCAATACATATTAGGTGGTTGCTATTTTGAATCACAAATATTCCAAGCATTGAGATCAAACCTACTTAGATCGAGGCAAAAATCATATGAAGAATGGTATAGAATTTCGTTTGTTTCCTAAATCATTTCATTATGACTTGTTTATGTGTGAGTTGTATTATTGAATATATATTTAATCTAAAACTTACTTGAATGATAGGATTTTAGGGTCATCAGCTCCCTCATTCTCGATGGGAAGGTAATCATGTCTCATATATAATCTATTATTTAGTGTTATTTTGGGTTAGAACTTACTTTTTCACATAGAAAACAACTCCAACAATAGCAAGTAAGAAATCAATTCCGATTAAGTGATGGAAAACATATGCTATAAGATATTGATATCATGAACAGATTCATATTTAATAATCAGATAAGATTATATTGAAACTTACGGTAGGAAATATCAGCTGAGCAGGCAGCACCATACCCTGGGATAAAGGCTCCGACAAAAGCACTTGCATAGAGTACATGGAAAATATACACAAGCACAGTAAAACCTTTTTACTTATCAGCTCCATGACCATAACGATGGTTCTTGATGAGGAATGTGAACATCAAAAATACTGCATAGTTTGAAAACCACAGCATAAAATAAAGGATCATTATGTATCTAGCAAACAAATCAAAGACCACAATCATTAACATCTATAAGAGTATTTTAGAAAATGAATATGATTTGTAGTGTTTATCAGGTGATGTAAATTACCTCAACTAGGAATAGATAGAATAGCATAATTTCTTTCACAAAATGGGTTTGATGCTGTCTCTTGTACATGAGAATAGCGAATATCAAAAGCACTCCGAAATAGATTACCTTTAACCCGATCAAAACTATTCTACAGACATTTTGTTGAATTAGAATTAGAGATGAATAGTTACTTTATAATTTCTTTGGTACTTAGACTTTCTTCTTCCGACATTAATAAACAAATAGATATTTGATAAAATTAACGATGCTATTAATAAATGGATTAATAGATAAATTAAAGACAGCTATTTAAGAATATGTTAAGGTACCTGGGGTTTTGGGGTTTTGGGGTTTTGGGGTTTTGGGG